TTTCATGATTTTCTATCAGGTGATTACTATTTTTATTAAAGTTCGATTAAATTTGTATTTACGTCGAAATGTTCTACGAAATATAGATAGAGCCTCCTAACAAAGGTTATTTTATATCAGGTGGGGGACTTGAGCCCGAGATCTTTGTAAATGATGAATGAATACTTATCGCTGCATCAGAACTCTTGTTGATACTAAGAACTTTGTTTGTATAAAATAAAATTGAAGGTGTATTTTTTATTTTATGTGGACTTAAAAATTAAAATGACAAATTTACCAAATTTCTGGAAAGAAATTGTGTTTTAAATGACAGGATGTCACCCCGACATACGGCATGATAGCTATTAATTGTAAAATCAGTTTGTTTTATGTAGCTTTATTTAAGAAGAAAGCTAATGATCCATATTATTTAGTGTAAATAATATAATTAATTATTAATATTAAATTAATTAAAGGTACTGAATAATTAAAGGAGTCAAAGTAGTAGTAACAAGGCTACTTGAAGTTTTAAAGTATTGCTAATCATGATTAATTTTTTTAATTACAACTTTGTGACAATAAAAGTAGATTTAGTCAAGTGATCAGTTCCTTCGACTTATTTTATGAGAAAATATTTGAGACCAAGTGATCAAGAAAACATGTCGTAATCTCATTTAATTTTTAAATAAAAGAAATGTGCGCGTTAATATATTCTTTTTTATCAAAGGAAACTAAGGCGGATCTAACAATGAATTCATATTCGATAATGAATCCTTCATGGAAGGAAAAAGGTAGTTGGGTGTGTGGTTTTAACCCTCAAGAAATTGAGAAAGTTTCAACATTAAATAAGACTTCATGAAGTTCAAAAATTTGCTGGAGTTTTAAAATCAAGAAAAGATTCATGCGTTCAGAATTTTATAAGTTCAAAAATCAAAGAACAATTTACAAGGTGCAAAAAATTTGTCAGAATTTCAAAATCAAGGAATGATTTTTGAGGGGTCAACCCTTTATAAGTTTATTAGTGTTTTAAATAGTAATAATTTTGTCTAAATTTATTTATAAATTTTAGGAATCACATAGTTTTAATATGAAATTACAATTTATCCCTGAAAAATAAAAAGAAATCGGATACATTAAAAACTAGCTCGGATATATTATAAAATAAATCGGATACATAATATGTAGCTCAGATACATTAAAACTAGCTCGGATACATTATAAAATAAATTGGATACATAATATGTAGCTCAGATACATTAAAAACTAGCTCGGATACATTATAAAATAAACCGGATACATAATATGTAGCTCGGATACATTAAAAACTAGCTCAGATACATTATAAAATAATTTAGAATTAGGAGAGAAATAAGGAATTTTAGAGGTTTTTATAAATAGAAGGGAGTATTAAAAATAAGGAAAACATAAGACGTGTAGTTCAATAATTTTTCCAATTTATTTTCGCATTAAGTTATGACTATTTTTCTATTACTTTTCAAACAATTGGCTAAGAACTCATAGCAAACTCAAAAACTGGTGTTGTTTATGGACATGAAACTTTAACGGGCTTAATCTAAAGGTGCAATTGACTAACTTTGGGCCTGAAAATTTTATGGGCTTAACTTTCATATTTGGCCCATTTTTCGAAACTAATATTGCAGCCCACTGGATGTGCGCAGCAGAAGCCCACCAATGATCAGAAATTTTACTAAATGGCCCTTTATATTTTTTATTTTTTTGCAATTTTAAATTTTTTAGATCACAATGTAAATAGGAAAAATCACCCCATATACACATTTAAGAGTCAATATTACAGGTTTTAAATCTACTTTTAAAAAATTCTTGCTTATAACAGTTTAATTACGGGTTATAACATATCACTAATTATTTATAAATTAATTAAATTTTACTTTATTAAATAAGTAATTTTTATTTTATTTTATATTATTATTAAATTATTAAATTATTTAAATAAAGAATACCCCATAATTATCTCTTACACAATTATAGGGATTTATATTGATTATTGTTCCTTTTTTACAGTTACAAGTCACACCTCCACACCCCACCAAAATCCCTCACCCCACAAGAATTTCACGTTTAAAAAAAAAATAAATCATCTTTCATCTCTTTCATCCATACTCCATTGAAGCCGGTTTTTCAACATCTAAAAACCGATTAGGAGAAATATATTCTCGATACAATCAAAATAAAAGGGCAGATCTCTACTTGTGAGACATGGACTTTCAATGGGGTTTAAAGGATTTTTGGTGTTTTTGTTGTGTTTACAGGAAGACTTGTTTTGGAGTTGAGTGCTTTGAGGCTTTTCATGTGAAAAGGTTCTTTTTTCTGATTTGGCTGTAGAATTTCTGGGGTTTTCTTGGGACTGACGATTTTACCATAAATTTAATTATGTGAAGGTGAAGGTGAAAGGGTTTAGGGTTTATCTATTTTTGCCCCAAAATTGTTAAAGATATGAAGTTGGAAAAGGATGTTAAAAGGGAGAGGGTGATGGATTTTATCAGTTTTACAAATCTAATTTTATTTTTTTTTTTGAAAAAAAAGAACATTTTTCATGAGGAGTTAATAGTTGACAGAAAGGAATTATATGTCGTTTGTGATCACAGGTGTAACTGATTTGGCTTAGACCAAAAAGGTATGATCTTGATCTTTCAATTTGTATTATATAACATATATCTATGCATGTGATGTATGGTGTTTGTACAAATTCTTGTTTATGTATGATTTACATGATTTTGTTTGTACATTTTTCAAAAGGAAAAGATTTACATGATTTGTTTCTTGTATTAGTCCTCCAAAAGTTAATTGGGTTTTTTATTACATGAGATATGGTTAAATCAATTTAGTAGATTTTTTTGTTAAAATTGTTATATTATGCATATTATTGGTATGAAAGCTGATTTAATAAACGATTTATGAATTTTGTTTAATGTTGGCATGAATTGGTGTAAAAGTTGGTATAAAAATGGTATGATGTATTACTTATATTTGGTGTGAAACTAGTTTAAATCTGGTATAAATTGGTACACAGTTTAGAGGAAATCTATTATTTTTTTTCAAATTATTCTCATTATGTCTACTAATCTGGCATGAAACATGAATTATATTGGTATGAAAGCTGACTTAATATACGATTTATGAATATGGTATGAAATGTGTTTTAACATTGGTATGAAATTGATTTATTGCTGGTATGAAAGCTGACTTAAGTTGTGTATTATTTTTATCAAAAAATGGTATGATATCAGTGGTCCAATTATGTGAATTGATTGTAGTTTGTTAAATCACCCATTTTTTTTGTATAAATTATGACTAATGTTGGTATGAATTGGTATTTTCTTATAATACCTATTTTTTTTTATAATAAGAAGATTTCTTTTTCAATTTCTCCAACTAGGTTGATGGCAATGCGGAAAACAAAGAACGATGATGGCGCGATCACTGAGAGTGAAATAACTGGGATTGTTGCTAGCAAATTTGATGGATCCCGCATAGCAAAAGAAATACTCCAAATACCAGCAATTATCCTACACCAAGACTACGGAGATCAAATTTGAGATAGTTGATTGCAGCTTAGACTCTTTTGTATTTCATGTTTTTTTTAACTTTTGAACGATATATATTTGTTTTTGATACAACTTTAAGTATTGAATGATATAGAATATGCATTGTTTTCTTCAAGTCAGTTTTCAACTACATATGAATTATAGATTGACTCTCATAATTTCAGGATACTAGTTATATACAAACTACATATCAATTGGTTATAAATTTCTGGATATCAGTTATATACAAACTACATAGCAATTGGATTCATACACAATTTAATTTTGATATTTAATTGGAGATCAAAATGAACACCATATAATTGGTATCCAAACTGTATATAGTTGACATCCATCAGATTTCTGAATTAATTTTAACAAATTAGAGTGAATTAAGGAAACTGAATATTCTTAATTAGTTTGAGATTCCTTAATTCATGCTAATTAATAATTATCTTAAATTAATTCAAATTTTATTGACACCCCTATTTCCGTTTTTTTTTTTCATTTTTTCCTTATTAATTACATATTATTAATTAATAATAAAAAACCATAAATAGATTAATCATTTATTAAATAAATGGAAATTGATTTTTAAAATCAGATTTTTGAATTAATTTTAACAAATTAGAGTGAATTAAGGAAACTGAATATTCTTAATTAGTTTGGATCCCTTATTTCATGCTAATCATTCATTATCTACAATAAATTCAAATTAAATTACAGCCCATAATTTCAATTTTTTACTTTATTATTTCTAATTCCATTTTTTTAAAAAATTTTCTTTTATCTTTTATTTATTTTTTAAGTTTTTTCCAATTAATAAAAATATATATATATTTTTTTAACTTGTTATAACCTGAAAATTTTTAATGCTATAGCTTGAAAGTCTAAATCTACTGTTATAGCTTGAAAATAGTACTATAATATACGTCATATATGAAATTTACACAAATAAATATTTCATTTGACCAAATAAAATTTTGTGAAATAACAGTATACCACAGTAGAAACTTTTATAAACTATTACATAAGTTTGACAATAATCTAATAATTTATTTGTAAAATTAAACAACCAAGGGTATTTTTTCAAGGACCATATTTGCACAACTTCTTAGAATATGAATAAAACCTAAAATTCATAAATAATACTTTTTCAGGGACCCTATTTGCTCTCATTTTTTTATTTGTAAAATGATTTTAAAAAGGAAAAAAAAAACTCTACCTAACCACTAGCCACTAGGAACATCCAAAAGAATTGGTCAATGTAAAACTAGCAAACATTTATACACAACCAAAATCCACTTTTTATGTTACAAGCACAAATTTGTCCGAAAATCAAGGTTGTACTTGTTATTATGACATAGGAAAAAAAGCTACTAACAACATTTTATTTATTTAATTACGTTGTTAAGTAATTAATATTTTTGGTTGAAGTTACTCACAACTAAATAAGGTAGGTAGGTAGCATGTCAAAATTTGATCCATATGAACACCTTAATGTGGTGTTAAACCAAGATGGAAGTATAACTCGTCTTCTTGATTTTCCTACAACTCAAGCCACTGGTGATCAACATCATCTCCCTGGCCAAGCTGTTGTTAGCAAAGATATTACTTTAAATGAAGAAAAGAAAACATGGATGAGACTTTATCGTCCAAGTAAATTACCCTCCAATGACAAATCTATCGCTAAACTTCCTATTATAGTTTATCTTCATACAGGTAGGTCAAAGGCAGATTCAGTATTTTCAATTTTTTAATGTTTTAAATACTATTGAATCCCCATTACGGTTTTGAAATTACGAGTGATCATAATCTATATCTTCCCCCTTTTGCTTTATTTTATATGTCTGATTTGACAGAAGCTGATCCAGTATTTTAATTTAATTATGAGTACGAAATTTCAAAAAAAAAATTTACCACTAAAACAATCACCTTGTTTGAGTTATGGGTTCATAGCTCTCTTCTTTTTTTTTCTTCAAAAATTTGGATAGGATAAAAGTTATGGACTCAATTGAACCATAACTAAATTGTTGGATCTGACCCTACATTAGACAAGATGCCATATTTAATAAAATATATTAGGGAGACTTTTTTGAATTTTGTGATTTAAAACTAAAACTTTCTATAATATATCAAAATTTTCTTTAGTTTTAAACATCTCATATATACAAAATGTTCGAATTTATTGAATATAAAAGTAAAACATTTTTTCAAATAGGCTAAAAAAAACACATAAAATTAAAACAAAAGGAATATTTATCAAATTTTAGAGATACTTTTATTCTAGTTATGTTAATACGTTTACTTTATTTTCTATATTTTGTAGGAAATTTTAAGTCATGTTAGATATACAAGTATCGTACTCTTGTGTGTTTATTTTATAATATTGGATTGAGACGAGTTTAAATATGTCAGGAGGGTGGATTCACTTCAGCGTAGCAAGTACAATAATACATGAAAGTTGTAACCAACTATGTAGCGAAGTTCCCTCCATTGTTGTGGCATTGGATTATGGTCTAGCACCCGAAAACAAGCTCCCATCTCAATACCACGACACAGTAGACGCGGTTCTTTGGATCAAGAACCAAGCGTTGGATCGCGTTAATGGTGAAAAATGGCTAAGGGAATATGGAGATTTCTCAAGGTGTTACCTCTATGGTGTTAGTTGTGGTGGTAACATTGCTTTTAATTCCGCACTTAAACTACTCGATAAAAAATTAGAGCCATTACGTATTAATGGGGTCATATTGAACCAACCTTTATTTGGTGGAAAAATGAGGACAAAATCAGAAATGAGATTAGCTACAGATCCATTTTTCCCCTTACCAGTAATTGATGTGTTATGGGATTTTGCTTTACCAAAAGGGACAGATAGGGATCATAGGTTTTGTAATCCAATGATGAATGGGCCATATAGGGACAAGATTAATAAACTTGGGAGGTGTTTGGTTATTGGATTTGGAGGGGACCCTTTGGTTGATAGGCAACAAGAATTTGTGCAAATGTTAGTCAAGGAAGGGGTTATGGTTGAAGCTAGATTTGATGATGTTGGATTTCATGGAATTGAAGTGGTTGATAGTAGAAGAGCTGCTGCTATTATTAATTTTGTTAAGGAGTTTGTTTGATTATTGATGCATTCTAGGCGGTGCACTAAGCTCTTGATATGTAATATGTGACTAGCGCATCAGAAATTAGTTTGGTGTACGCCTGTATTATTTAGTATTTATGTAAGAGGTTGTTATACTTTAATTTAGTAAGTGGTATTACTGGAAGTTATACAATTGATCTTGTTTATTTTTGTATTAGTCTCTAGTTTGCACATGTTCTGTGAAAATGTTATAGTATATAATGTTTTTTCTATTATTCACTATATCTCTATTTTTGTTTTCAAAATGCTTTGATATATGTTATATGAACGGAGGTCGGAGGGTCTTTCAAAAATACTTTAACTACATCATAAAAGTGGGAATAAGATTTGTGTATATTTTAGCTTTTCTAGACTATACTTATGAGATTTCACTAGATATGTTATTTTTGTTAAGACTTTATTTTAGCTCTTGATTAAAAATTTGATTTCTAGTCCTACTTATATTTGATCAAACCCATTTCATCTATAACAAATTCACATATCTCACTTTTCTTTTTAGTCAGCTTTAATAAAAAGAATGTTTTTTTCCCGCAACTTATTAATTCTAACTTTCTACATGACATGTCGAAGACCATGTGATTAAATGACATATTGATACACTCTACATATTTTTAATTTAAGATCACATTTCAATTTTATTTTTTTTCTTAAATTTCATGTCACGTCAAATTGAAATGAGTGAAATATGTGTTTTTAGTGTCTTTGACCCAGGACTAATCAATTACTCCTAAAATGCGACCAACAATCCCACAAGTAATCGACAGCAAAAAGTCTCACTTCATACAGTAGTGTTACATGCATATATGAAATTGTTCATAGATTGAGGGGAAAAATAAACAATCCTCATTTTGCTTTCATTTGTAATTTTTTCTTGTTAACTGTAGTAATTAATAGTGGTGAAGATTGAGTGTGATTTATGATTGAAATGACAATTGAAAAAGAAAAATGAGGTGTTGGGCCGAAGTATTGAGTAAGAGATAATTGGATGGGATGTCTGTCTGTACCTCCTTTCGAGTTACTCAACACTCCAACAGTGCCTCTGCTAATTCATTAAATACTACAACAGTACAATTCTGAGTGTAAAAGTATACGTAAATCTTATTTATCTTTTTTATTTTTATTTTTGACGAGTAGGCGATGCGATACAAAATTATGCTTTTTATCTTTCAATCAGATATTAATTAGTATATTGTTTGGAGGTGTTTGAAGAGCTCAAAATGACTTGCACAGAAAATTCTTTCTATATTTGACTTGTGTCTTCGACGGGAATTAAACCTGCGCATGGTGAATTCATAATTCAATGTCTCGATCCGGTTGGCTACTTCGCCCCTCTCCATCTGATCGAAGTCACTATCTTCACAATTTCAGTTCTTGCACCAATCATCCAATAATGAACACGATATCACTAATAATTGTGATGTAGGTAGAAAGCGTTCTATTCACCAAAATGAGAATTTGAGCATGAACCTGGAACAATCGGATTCTTAAAATAAATATCAGATATCAAGGGAAAAAATCAAAATACAATAGTATAGGAAAAAAATGAGCTAATTTTTTTTTTTAAAAAAAAAAACTGTTACTCTCGTCCTCATGTATCAACTCCCTCTAACACTAGTACACATGTTTGCTTCACGCAAGCTGTAGCTTCTCTCCCCTTAATTTCTGCTTCTTTCTTTTAGCTTTGCTTTAAAGTTTACACCAATTTTATATTATAGGCAACCCAAAACTCAAAAGGCCCACGTTCCCTCTATTTAAAACATTCTTTTATTTCTATTCTATGATTAGTAATATAAGAAGGGTTAATTTGCTAACATAATCTTATCCCAATATTGAAGTTTGTTTTTTTTAAAAAAAAAAAATCATACTTAATGTTGTATCTAAAAGTAAAAATTTAAGTAGTCTAGCTATTCTCACAGGCCATCATGTAAATGTACAATTTATATAAAAAGAAATGGAAGACCATACAAATAAAATTTCAATATGATCGTTTAAGCTATAAAGGTTATCTCTTCCTGTTATCGCAATAATCGTATCTTAATTTCAAGATTATATGAATCTTATATTTTCCTATGAATCCACCAAATAGTACAACAAATTTCTTACCTTGCATATAACGTAGGAACCGTTTTATAGCTGGTTAGAGTAATGTAGATACTAGTTATGAGAAAATTGCAAATCAAATATTGTATTAAGTGTGTCGAATTTTATACATAGCAAAAAAAACCCATAAAAATACCACCAAACATCGTATTCCTCCGTTGCAAATGTTTTTACATTCTAAAACTTAATATCAAATAAAAAAAAACAAATTAAAATATTACTTACGCAAAATATAATACTTGCATAAATAACTTAGCTACTAACCAACTACCGAACAACCTCAAAAGTCTTTTGTTTAATAAAATATGGTTGAAGGGAGTAGCATAGCTGTCTATCAAGTGACCCACCACCAAAAGCTTATACTAACATTTTCTTATATATACTATTAAAAACTACTTCCACTAACAAACAGCAACAAGCAGTAGTCCTACCTACCTTTTGATACAATTATAAATAAATATCTTTTTAACTCTTCTTCTTCATCATTCCACATACCCCACAATTAAAATTTGAAACACTCACACTAATTAATAGTAACAAAATATGAGCAATGGTAGTGGTACTGGGCCTTGTGGTGCGTGCAAGTTTCTTAGAAGAAAATGTGTGAAAGGTTGCATATTTGCACCTTATTTTGACTCAGAACAAGGCATGGCTCATTTTGCTGCAGTTCATAAGGTGTTTGGTGCTAGTAATGCATCAAAACTATTGCTTACTATTCCACCAAATAAACGTCTTGAAACTGTTGTTACACTTTGTTATGAGGCTCTTGCTAGAGTTAGAGACCCTGTCTATGGCTGTGTTGGTCACATCTTTTCCCTTCAACAACAGGTAATTCTTTCTGAATCTCAACTCAATATTTTTGTTATACAGAGAGTTGCTCGGATGGTAAACTCTCTCGCTTCCAATACCAAGATTGTTAGTTCGAGTCACATAAGCAAAAAGGGTTGAAGTTATATACACCTTTAGTTATTAGTGTAACGATCATGATCTATGAGTTTTATTGTGAACTTTTAAAATTACAAATCTCATAGTCTTATATGAATATTTACTTGTAGATATTTTTTAGGTGATTTGATAAATCTTGAACAAAAAACCTCTTAATATAACTTAAAACTCTTGATATCGTTTTTATCTAGTTAGTATTAGTACTAAGAATAAGTGATAGTATCTGTGATGTGATCTAAACTAAGTGTTCTACTTTCATAAATTAGTTTTGAGTTATTATCTCTACTAACTAATGCATATTATATACTCAACTCAATTTTTATATGTTTGGTTAATTTTTTTTATTCAGTTTAAATTAGAATGTTTTTGTTGAGAACTCTTTAATTTTAACTTTTTATCTGACCACAAGATTAAAGAATATTTTGATACATTTTACATTTTTTTAACTTAACATTATAACATTCGAAAGTCTTACTATTTACTTTTTAATGATCTCTCTATCAAGTCAAAATCTGAAGTGAGGGAGTACTATATTTATATTTCTTTGACAAACTCGACCAAAAGAGAAGTCGAATATTATGATATTAAAAACACTTGCATGTGTGGAGTTTGAAAACTGAAGGAGCATGAAAATATTGGAATATACCTTCTTTTTTTTTTATCTTTACACTCAAAATATTTTACTTTGGTTTTACCAAAAGATGTATTTTGACAATAAACTCATTGATTATTTAAAGATAGAAGTTTTTTAAGTTTTCAGATCAAGGGTGGTACTAGTTAATTAAATATTGTTGTAATGCTTTGTTTGTATGAGCTGATTATCAATAGTGAAAATATGCCCTTTTGAATATTAGCGCTGAACACATAGCAAAAGAGGTGTTTGTGAAATCCATTAACCTATCAAGCTCAAATTCATTTTTATCTGTCCAAATTTAGTTTAATCTGCCTATTTGACGCCCTAGTGATGGACACAATGTAAGAATTTGTTGATGTGGACTTTTAGATGTACATAATATAATGTTTTGTAATTGCTTGCCGGAGCTAACAAGCAACCCTGCCTAATCAACTTTAGCAGCTCGAGAAATATTCAATACATCAATAATTTGACTCTCTTTCTTATTCATTTGTTGTTTTTCATGGAAGTTTACAAAATATTACCTTGTCTGTTCCTAGTTATTTGTTCACTTTTCAATTGACACATTTATTAAGAAATCAATTAATGACATACTGAGTTTACCATTTTATCTCTATTAATTATGAAGTAGATGAAAATTTTTGCATTTTTCAAAGTAATTAGTCATTTAATTGACGATATAATAGGTAAAAAAAATTGTACTTTTTTGATTTGTCAAAACGGACAAGTAATTAGGAACAACTATAAAAGAAAAAATAGACAAGTAATTAGGGACAGAGGAAGTACTAACAATGCCTAGTGCATGTGATATTCCGTAATTTGACTCTCAAAAATATGTGACAATTATTTTGAGACGGGAAAGAAACACATTATTATTTGGCCTTTTTATTATAAAGTTTCCTATAAACAAGAAGGTAAGTGTAGAATATAATACTGGTTGCAAGTGAATCTTATAATATAAGAAAAAAAAAATGTTGACTTCTTATGAATGAAATTAGACTTTTCTTCTGACAGGTAACTTCTATGCAATTCCACAAATTAAAGTATCTTGATCTTATCATTTAGCACGTGAAATAAGTTTATAATATATGGGGACTTTAAATTAAACTAATAATTTTATCATGATAGAACTAGCTAAGGTAATATTCATGATATCTTTGGTTTTATTTCAAGTCGTAATTACCCTAAGTGAAAACGTACAATCAGTAGGTTCAACTAAATTCACTATTTTAATTTTTAAACTCATATCCACACCATTTATTGTTATACAAAAATGATTACTAACTAGATCATACATACCTTTTGTGCTTGTGTTTAGGCTGTGACATTGCAAGCAGAGTTGGCTTACGTTCAAGCTCGAATATCGACCCTGCAGCACCACCACCACCTCCCTATGCCACCACCAACGCCATCACAGGCAGAGGTAGCAGCAGCATGTTGTTCTAATTTATCGCCATCGGTGTGTACAACTATGGATCCTTCGATAGATATAACAGACTTGTGTAATGTGTTGGATCAACAACTAGACAACTCTATGTGACCTAGCTCCATATATACAGTTAACTGTAACACAATTCGTCTCTAGACTTTTATCACTAATCTACAGTTAGCTAGGTTCCAGGGATATAATTAGTTAATTAACTCACTTTTAACTCCCTATCAAAATTATCATGCATGTAGTTTTCTCTTTTGTCTACATATGTAACTTTTTTCCCTCTGTTTTTCTCTAGCTAATGCTAATTTTGTTTGTTTTAAATCATTGTAGATCGATCTACGTAATTTCTTGTGTTTCTTCCTTTGTTTATATATGTGAAATGGCCTTTTTTTCTTTAAACGAAAAAAAAAATGTACGAACTATGATTCAATTATATACCGTTTAGCCAACTAATTTATCAGTATATATATATATATATATATATATATATAATGTATATTATAAGGTACTTGGTCAAAGCGTTTAGGATCATAAGCTCTGGGACTATTGGCATGGTAAAGGGATTGAGGGCTTCCCTATCTTCTATAAACCAGCAAATAGTTCTTGGTGAAAATTTTAGAAATTGCAAACATAATAGTCATAAGATTTTATAGCTATAGTTTTGATAAATGTGCTACATAGCCATCGTTTTGTTTGCTATTGAGGTTGTGGTTTGTATATTTTGCTTGCGAATATATAAATATGGAAAAATATATACAAATACTGTATTTATACATTTAGGTATCTTTTAGGATTTCGTTTGTATATTCGCTTGTCAATATAAAAACAGGATAATTTATAACGAATTTTTCATAAATCGTAAATAGCTAGGGTAAGTATATGCAAAATTTTGGATTTATACAATCAAGCACCGAGTTATACAAATTTTGAATTATACAAATCAGGCGAATTATACAAATCACGCAAGTAACAAGAATTGGGGAAATTGTAGCCGCGAATTATAATTTTCTTAAATTATAGCTATAGTAATTAATATATAGGGAAAATTGTATGAAATAACAAATTATTAATTCAAATTAAATGTTATAGCCACAGTTTATTTTAATTGTAATTCACAACAAACATTCCATTTTTTTGCCATCCGATTCGGTATACAATTAGTCATTTTTGGTATACAATTAGTCATTTTATACATTTCAGTATAAAATGTATATAATACGCGTGTTTGTATAAAGCGAGAGAAAAGTGTATATACAAATATATATATTTTCGTCCTAGACACTTATAATATACAAATACAAATCTTATTATACAAATTACAATACAAAACTGGACAATTTGTATAAAACTGAATGTTTCTAGCGAATTATACAAATCAAAAGCTCCATAACAAATAAACAATTTGTTATGGAGCGCAATTATGCAAATTATAGTTATAACAGATACAAATATAATTTTATGTTTGCTATATGTGAAAGTTACTCATTAATATAAGCTAAGTATTTGTTATTCTGCATAATTTTTCCATTGTTGTTTCATTATCTATTGGGATGTTTGACCCCTCTGGCCCAATACCATCTATTGTCACTCGGGTTTGGACTTCCTTTGCTTGATCCACTGTTGTATCTTTAAAAATTTAGGATTTGGTGCATCTTCGTTACCGTTTTGTCTCAATTTTCTCAAGTGCATATTTAGATGAGTGACACTTATTATATTTAAAATTTAAAGGTCTAGATTAAATTTAATTTAGCAAGTCCTTTAATCATAGTTAAAGAACAAGCTAGGAAAAAACTCACCAACTTTTAGTAAGAAAAATCTCATCTTTCACTAATTTTGATTCCTCTTTAATATCATTACTTTAATTATACTCTATTTTTTCATTTATTTTTTGTTCAATAAATTACTTTTGACAGGAAAAAATTTAAAATCATTTTTTTGTTGAGTAAAAAGACAAGTATTTGACGAATAAATTTATGTCAGAAATGAAAAACAAATGAAAATGAAAAAGAAAAAATATATTGTATAATTGTATTTGTCAAAAGTTTTAGAATAATTTAGGTTTGTAAATAAAGTTGGTCTCTGTTAAAGAAAAAATATTTTGCTGTTTTTTTATTCCATGTTTGATATCATTGCCTCTTTATCTATGATTTTATTTTGTTAGATATCGAAAAAAATATCGGAGAGAATTCTTACCTTTAGATTAGGAAAATGATATTAATAGATATGTAAAACATTTATCAGGAAAATACGTATATAGTTATATTAATGAGGAGCTAAAATTAGTGAAAGATGAAATTTTCTCATAAAAAATAGTGAATTTTTTTCCTAACTTATTTTTTAAGTATGGCTAAGAGGCTTGTTAAATTAAATTTAATCAAGACCTTTAGATTTTTAAATATAACAAGTGTCATTTATCTAAATATACTAGTGACGAAGAGCCCGTGCTCCCAATATCTATTATTTTTTGTCCTAATGTATGTGACACTGATAAAATATAGTGAGTTATTTAAATTTACCTATATTACTGGTCACTTTGTCCTAATTTATGTGATATGGATAAAATTACAAAATTAACCCTTTTAAAATGTCTTTCAGATATTTTAAGTTGTTAATTATTATTATTTATAATACTTTTTTGATAATTTTAAAATGATATATGTTATTTTTTCTATCCCAATATATGTGACCCTGATAGAATTCTGAGAGTCAACCTATTTTATTATATATCTTTTAAATATTTGAAGTCATTTATAAATGATTTATCTTTTTAAGTCATTTCTAAATAGATCAGTCAATTTATTTTTTTGTGTTTTTTTAATAAATATTTAAGTTGTCAATTATCACGATTTATTTTATTTTATACATAATTTTTAACGATAGAATAATTTCAAGAATCAATCGAATTTTTTTATATGTATTTATTTTTGAAATATTTTATGTTGTCAATTATCATGATTTATAATATTTTTACAATAGATTAACTTCAAGAATCAGTGAAATTTTTTGTATCTTTTTCAAAACATATTTTATGTTGTCAATTATCATGATTTATGACAAATAAATTAAAATGGACCCAATATATGTTATTTTTGTTGTCTGGATTTATGTGACACAAATGAAATTTAGAGTCATCCAAATTTTCATATTTTTTTAAAAAATATTTTAAGTTATTAATTATTGTGATTTATAATATTTTTATGTAACTTTCAAATAACCTACATTACTGGTCACTTTGTCCTAATTTATGTGATATGGATAAAATTACAAAATTAACCCTTTTAAAATGTCTTCCAGATATTTTAAGTTGTTAATTATTATTATTTATAATACTTTTTTGGTAATTTTAAAATGATATATGTTATTTTTTCTGTCCCGATATATGTGACCCTGATAGAATTCTAAGAGTCAACCTATTTTATTATATATCTTTTAAATATTTTAAGTAATTTGTAAATAATTTATTAAGATAATTTTTAAGTCATTTGTAAATAGTAGAATGTCCCATCATAAACTCCCTTTTATTATATAGTAGAATAGAAAATAATAAGAGAAAAATCTAGTAATTCCACATGTCAAGTTAATGGGTAGCCTCAACTCCCTTAAATATTTTAAGTAATTTGTAAATAATTTATTAAGATAATTTTTAAGTCATTTGTAAATAGTAGAATGTCCCATCATAAACTCCCTTGTATGTCTTTTTGAAAATCTGGGACAACTTCAAGTATCACATAATGTTTTTTCTCAAAATCTAATTTACTTTCGTAAACTATGTGTCAGATCAAAATTTAACAAATTTAAAAGGATGAGTAATAAATAGCTCATACAATGAACTAAAAATCTTGTTAGCTTTTGGTTAAAAGCTAACAAAATAGTTACAATGATAGTTGCATTGTGGCTTATTATATATAGAATATAGTAGAATGCATATGAGGAAATGGAGAGAAAGTGTAATGGAATTGAGTCAAGTCCAATAGGGGTATCAATGGAATGGTTCGATCGGTTATTTTAAAAAAATTATATCATCTCAAATTTTTGGGTATTTTATAATGTATAGCCAAAATTAGATTTTCTAAATCTGTCCCAATCATATCAATTTTTCTGTTTTTTACTTTTAAAGTATCACCTCAAAATACATTATTATTGAAACATTTCTTTCACAAGTGTGTTATTGATGAAGCACTTCAATTCTTCACCTAGAAATAAAAAAATGTAAAACCTTGTTGTTATATTGTTTGATCTAGAACTTTCCATTGAATTGTTCGATGGAATATCCATTCCAATATTTTTAAATTTTAAATCTAATTAATTAAAGGGCAAAGGCCGACTAGGACATGGGTTATATTTATATTCGAAGAATGTATTAAAATTTATTTATATACACATTGTTAATATATAAAATATATTTGCATAAGTGCAACATCATTTGGTTCGGGAGTTTTTTGGTTTTTTATGAATTAAAAGACTATTTCAGAACAATTATATGCTTAAATAAAAGTTTATAATTTTATTAAAAAATGATATAAATCGATTCGGTTATGTACATATATTTGTTCCATTAATAGTTTACGGGTATTTTTGATATTTTTCATTGTCTTTAAGATGAAGGTTTTTTTTAAGAATGATTAATTAAAGTTATACGAAAAAACTATAAAAAATTTAATAAAGTGGAAAATGTGTTTTTATATAACTTATGGGACATTCACGCAAAAAAAAAGAAAAAAATTGGATAAAAACTCACATTTTTTTTAAAAGTCCAGCCACAAAGAAATATAAATATGAAGAATCGATCGAATCTAATCGTACCGAATCGATTTATATCATTTTTTAATAAAATCATACTTTTATTTAAACATATAAGCGTTCTGAAATAGTCTTTGTTTATTGACTCATTGTTATCCCTCAAAACTAACAGATGACATGTCACTGTACAAAACATGTAAAAAAAAAAAAAATTTGATGACTTTGAAATTTCAATTGGCAAAAAGTGTACAAAACTTTTCTCCATATTTTTCATTTGATAGTTTCATATAAAAAGGAGAACATAAGAAATAAATTCAGATGAAAAATGGGAAGAAATTTTTTGTATGCTCACAGCTAATTCTCCA